GGTCACTGAGTTCTTTCATTAGATATTCAGAATTATGTCAGTCAGAAGGTGAAGAAAGAAAATGCAAAGCTGCTGATTTATTACCTGTTTCTCAAGATTCAGTGCATTCAACCCGTCCTGGACATAACCAGATGAAGATGATGGTAACTCCACGTCCTAAAGCTCCCATCGAGAAAATAAATAAAAAAAATGTATTCTTTCCCGTTACTGAAAGTGAGAATCAAATCAGTGTCAGGACTGAACCTGTGATGCCAACACATGTCATTGATGACAGCCAATCTGCATTTTCCCTCACCAAAAAGAAGAAGAAGAGAAAATCGTCTAACTTTCTAGAGCAAGGTACATATGAAAATCAAAAAGATAAAGACATTTCAGGGATAATTAAAAGTGAGGGAATGCATATCACAAGTAAAACCACACAGGATTCCACAACACAGGCTATAGATAATTATTCTGAAATACCTCAGAAAGAAGGAACGGATTTTTTTGTAAAAAGCAATGATGAGTCTGTCAATTCAGACAAAAGCATATGGCCTGAAGATGAGTCCTACCACCAGGATTCAGTGGAACAAAATGGATTATCATCTAATAAAAAACCAAGAAGTAATAACAACAAGTTGGCCAAGGTAAAATTGAAATCAGGCAAAAAAAATGGTTTAGTTTCATCTGCAAAGAGTGAAGATGGTCTAAGGACAGTAGATTCAAACAATGAATCTGAACAGAGTCAGGATACACTGAGTACTGGGAAAGAAGGCACACATCTCTCAACCAGTTCTTTTGAACAGATACCTAACTCATCAATGATTTCAAAGCCATTGTCAGAAGTGCCAAAGAATCTTGATTTTGAAAAAGAAAAGGAAAATAATATTTTGGAAAATTTGTCATCAAATAAAGAGAAAAAGCAAAAGAGGGTGAAGAAAAATCTAAGTAAAGGTGTAAATAAGTTAAATATGTCAGAGAGAGCCATTACACTAGAGCCTCTAAAACAGGAGGGATTTCAAGAGGAGGTTGTTGAGCATCCAATTGAAAACTATGTCCAAACTTGGCTGAAAAACTTGTTACCAAATTCTGTCTTACCCCCTATAAATAAAAAGGAAGGGAATGTAGAGAATAGCAATGTCTGTGATTTTCCTAAAGAAAATACTGATGCTTTTATAGATAAAGAAACAAGATTTGTCACAAATAAAGTACATGTGACCGGCAAAAACCATCTGGTTGAACATAATCTAACCAAGAAAACATTAAAGCCTATTGGTGAATTGGGAACTTTAACAGAATCAGCCAAAGATTCAGGTGAAAAACAGACTGACTCTTTGATTCATGCTAATACAACTATAGTAGAAGAAACCAAGTATTCCGTAAAGTCGGAATTTCATCATGATGGTAAGCTACACTTGTTTCATGAAACACATGACAATGATAAAAAGTTGTCAGAAGTTAATATTCAAGATAGCAAACTATATAAAAGAAAATCTGAAGTTGCTGTTCAAGTCGATTGCACAATTGTCAATGAGAAAATGGGAACTGATGTTCAGAATAATTGCATGTCTAGCATGTTGCTGCATGAACTACAATCAACTTTGCTTGGTCTCCAGAAAGAACACAGTGGTTGCATAGGCAAAGCTTGCAGCCTTTCAGACCTTTCTCCTTCAGCTTTTGGTTCTTCTTCGAATGTCCTCCTAGCTTGGCTACTTGTACTGAATCTGAGAGAGAGTTTGATTGGAACAATCAAAGATGATATGCAAAAAACTACCTGCAGCTGTTCTGAAATATTTACACAGTTACAATTTCTGAAACAAACTACAGTCATAGAAAAAGTTGATGAACTGAAAGCTGCCTTCTCACATTTTCAACAAGCGACAGAAAATAACTTATTGCATATTGGGAAGGAACTCAAAAAGCAGGACTACACATGTTGCCATGAGAATATGCCCACAGCTGAAACTCATGATGGTATACATTTGCATGAAAATGAAAAGTCAGTTGAGCTTTGTATTCCAAAGGGCAGTGTAAATTCTGAAGAAGCTCTAAAATTGACCGGTGAATTAAAAAGCTGTTTTGATATGCAGAAAGATCTTTATAGAGCAACAGAGACTTTAGACTTGAGTGCTCCCAAAACACAGCCAGATTGTCAATATGCCAATACTAATTCAAATACCTGTAGCCTTGCATCAGGTATAGAGCCACCTGAAAGAAATGAAGAAATGCCTGACAGCCTATATGAAAAAACTCAAGATAAAAACAGTGATACTTCATTCACTAATGAAGAGTCAGAAACTTCAGTAGAACCTAACTCGACAGTTCATAGTGTAACTTCTAATGATAAAAATGGCATTTTAGATCAGGATACTTCAGAGTTAGAAGGTGAAAAAGATATACGTGTAACTTCTAATGATAAAAATGGTATTTTAGATCAGGATACTTCAGAGTTAGAAGGTGAAAAAGATATTATACGTGTTACTACTGATAAAAGTGAAGATGAGAAGGTTGATCCAAAGTCAGCAGGTAATGACAAAAACCCAAATAACCAACTTAAACTAGCTGCTGAAACGTCTGTAGAATATAATAATGAGGATTATTCTGCACAGAGAGACAAGGAAGAAGGAGAAACTTGTGATGAAACCTCTGAGAGGTTATCTACAGTCTCTCCATTATCATTTTGTTATGAATCAAAGCAAGTAACAGAATGTGATATGAGTGAAGGAGAACAGAAGTTGCAAGTAGAAGAACTGGAGAATAAAATGTGTTCAGACACTTCTCAATTGAAAAAATGCTTAAAAAGTCCTGCTACATCAGACTGGTCAGATTACAGACCAGATACTGCGGAGAGCGATTACAACTGTAGAGCATCCAGTGATTTGACCAATGAAAGTGGGGAGGAAGCAGTACTTGAAAAACATTACAATACTGGCTATGTAAAAAGAACTATTGAAAGACTTTATGGGAAGACAGAAGCTTCATTTAAGCCTGACTTTCACAAAGGATTTCCTTATATGTCAAAAGTGTTTCAAAAGGATACGGAAGAATTCCACTCTGCAGAAGTGGAAAAAAACATTTATTTTTCTCAAGAACCTAGGTCTTGTTCTGCAGAGAAATTGTCACGTTCTTCATTACCATCACAAGAATTCCAAGTAAATGTAAACCAAGATGATGCTATATCAAGAAGAGAAAATACTTCTTTACCAACACCACAACCTACCCTTAACAGCGAAAAGAAAAGCTATACTAATGACCGTTCAGAGGACTCTCCAAAGCAACATTGTCAACCTAGCGTACGAGCTAATGAAGATGAAGGAATATTGATAGATAAAGGCAAATGGCTTCTCAAAGAAAATCATTTGATAAGAAGATCTCCACCTGAACGGATTGGAATGTATGGTAATTTGGATACAACATCAACAGACACAGTCCTTGATACTAATAGTGATGATGTTCCATACTCCCACTTCGGCAATCTGAATCAGTACCCAGTCCTTGATGAAATCTCTTCTTCAGAACTTGAAGACATGGCTAAACCCTCTGAAAATTTTTGCAACTACTTCAATATACCTCATAGTAGTGATTCAGACCCCTTTCAGGATGACTTAAGCACAAAAAGCAAACCTAGCCGCAATGGTAAGATCACTTCCCTTCCTGCAGCAAAGAAAGAAAAGATCAAACCATCAGTCATGGTAGGTTCTACTTCTGCACATCTTTCCACACAGGCTGATACCAATTTTCCAGCCTTTACATCTGTGGAATTTAGATTGCCGGATAACAAAGTGCATCCATTGGAACAGCCTTTAAATGATGAACCCATACAGTCTCAGCCAACTGATGTTAGTAATGCCAACAGAAGTGCTCTTCAGGAAGAAGATTCTCTGGACAAACTCCATGCTATATGTGGCCAACATTGTCCAATACTGATGGTGACAGTAACACCAATTAATGAGGAACAGCGAGGATATGCCTACCAAAAGGCATCTGATATTGAGAACCAGCTGGGTCTACATTTGTTGACCAAAAAGAGTGAACATTTGCAATGGTCAGACGAAGATTTAATAACAGACAACAATAATAATGTGACTCTGAAGAATAACTGTATCAATAAGATTGCCAATAGTATTTTTAATAGGTTTTATGCTAATAACACCTTAGATTTTATTAGTAACTTTGGGACACTTGCATCTTCAACTCTGAAAGACAGAAGCAGTTTAGGGAAGTTACGTGTTTTAGAGGATATGAATGTAAAACCCTTGGAAGTCAGCAACTGTCAAAATAATGTATCCAAACACATACCCAGTGATCTTGTGATAGGTGCAAATAGTGAACTACCCAACAGAAAGCCAAAAATATGCCAAACGCTAAGAATAAGCCTAATTCATATTTTTGGAGAAAAATTTTCTCCCATGTTGGCAGATCCAGCAAAAACCTGTCATTCTGAAATATTTCTGAAGTGTGACACTTCTTTAAATACCATTGAACATAATGCCTCTGAAAATGTGGAAAATGAAAATGCCTTTCCTACAGAAGAAGAAGAAGGAGAAGAAGAAGAAGAGGAAGAGGAAGAGGAGGAGGAAGAGGAAGAGGAAGAGGAAGAGGAAGAGGAAGAGGAAGAAGGAGTTTGCTTTTGTACAATGGACAATGGAAACAGCAAAGATGAGAAAGACTTGTAACAGAGATCTTGGAATTTCTATAACATTAGATTAGTGAAAACATCTTCAGAAAAAAATAATAACAAAATAAACTGCTGAATGCCACACCCAATAAAACTCCCAATGTGAATACAGCCCAGACCTAGAAAAATATAAATCACAATTGTATATCATTGCTGAAATATAGATAATTAGATTTTTGTGGGAACTACCACAGGAAGAAAAGATGTTCTTCTAAGACAGTGATTTCTCAGTTAAAAAACAGTTTCTCCTTTAAATGTTATCTGTTCAGAAATATTCAGTAATATACCAACCATCTTATTTGTAAAGAAACAACTACTGCTTGTTAGAACAAAGAACTGAAATTTGAAATATGTGCCCAAGTTCTAAGATAAGATTCCTATATTTCATGACATTTGAGAAAGGGCTTGAGAATTGTCTTTCAGTAGAAATGCTTCATCCAGAGCAAAATCAACTGATACATTTAATTTGAAATGAAAAGTAAGAAATACTATTTAAATTCTGTAATACAATGAAAAGTGGGAAACAGTAGTCATGTTAATTTTATATAGATTAACGTTATCAAATTGCTATTTCAGTTTTTAAAGGCCAACTCCAGAATAGTTATGTGAGTAAAGAAATCTTTCAGTCTGTATATAGGATCATCCAGACCCCAAATGAAGTTTTCCTCTTTCACCCAGAGGATACTAGAAAAGGCGTGTATTTATTACCTCTGGGATTCCACAGGAACTGAGAAGAGACACTGTCTGTCAGCGGACTTCCTGACTGCCCCTGCCATATTCCCTTCTGAGGCACCACTATTTATGCTTAAGATTGTTCTACATACACTACAAGTTTTAGTTGTGTGTTCTTCTTTAACCTTTGTACTTTAAATGTGGTCCATGTCTTTTTTTTTCTTTCTTTTTTTTTTTTTTTGTAAATATGTTTTATTATGGGAATCCAAGGTGTATGTAATATGTTTCAGGATATTCCAATCTGTTATTAGAATTATTTTGGATACCTGTTTACAGTATTTTTTTAATATTATGTGTGCATAGTAAGCACTTATTTATACGGTTTACAGTTTTCAGTAAATGATGTTAAATATAAAACTGGAAAATATTTTATGTATATTGTGACTAGGCAGAGTATTTCAGGGTTTGGTTAGATTTTAATCCCTAACTGCATAGTACCTTGCTTCAACGTCAATGAAGTCAGAGATGTACCTGAAGAAGGAAGGTGCTGTTTTTCAGTTAGAGAATGAGAATTTGGCCATTCTGTACAGTGGCTGTGTCTAGGCTAACTGGCATGTACATGCTGCAATAAGCCCTGGATCATGATCCTTTGGTTATCCAGACTGAGGACCTAATTAAAGGCTGACACAAATCCCTTTCGGCCCAGAGGCTTTCACTGTCTCCCCGAGCGACAGAAGGCACATGGGGGGGGAAGTAGATGTTGGATCTGGAGCAAAAGGGGTTTGCAGTACAGGTAGGAAATCTAGGAGCACTCTTTAATTCTTTTTAGGAGTCCAGTGGCAGATATATTTTCCCATAAATAACCAATATGTTTCTGTTGTCTGAAGCAGTGTATTCTATGTAATAAACTAATGTTGCAAACCTAAACCAATATATATCATCTAATATATTTCACACCAATTATCTGTGTGTTATTTCCTGCGCTTGCCTTGTTGCTGATGTTGTTCCTTCCATCTCCACATTTTTTGGCATCCTCCTTTGAATGTTTTAGAACTGCTCCTAGTGAAGAGTCTCCATAGTATTTTTTCATCCTTTTACATGTCAATGCAGAAATAAAACCCCTTGTTTGGAAAATGAAGCCTGAAATTACTAGAATCCAACTAATTGCCATATAGCATCCTGAGTACCACCAAGCTTCTATGCTGTAAATAATGTTGAAATGTTAGATAGGCAAATTAACAGCTATGTATATATGTCTCCATCACTTGCAGTCTTTCTTCTGCATTCACAGCACCCTGTGCTGCGTTCACAGCACCTTAACTTTTTCAGATCTAGGTTCAAGAACCTTTAATCAGATGCTTATTATAGGGTTACTGAGCAAACCAAGCACTCAAAAGGTGAGATGTAAGGTACTGCCTGAGGTTACAATTAGCAGAGACCACAGCAAGTGATGAAATGATTGTTATATTAACTGAAAGACTTGCTTCTGATTTCAGTATGTTAAATGAAAGAATAAAATGGTCACCTCAGAGCAGGACAAAAGGTCAACAGTGAGATGTACCATACCATCATAGGGTTTATATATTCATTAATGGTTCAGGGAAGATACAGAATATTCAGTGGCTGAGATATGCAGATGAAATAAAATTACTTTCATTAGGTAAGATTGGAGAAGCCTGAAGAGAGAACCTCACAATGCTGGTGACTAGAGCAACGTACTGATTGATGGTGGGAAAAACACCACGAGGAATAATATGCGCTACTTATATAGGTAGCTTAATTCTGCAAATTAACTGCAAAGGGCATAGAGTCTTTATGAATAAGTCAGGATAAAATCTACTTGGAAGTGGCAAGCATATTAAATAATGTGTAAAGAACAGGATAGAAAACAATCCAGCAGGCATTCAAGGGCTGAATATAGATTATGCCATTCTTCGAGAAGGAATTCAGTTTTTGTCTTATGTTATTAAAAAAGAAACAGACAGCATAACATGTAGACCACAGTCCCAGGAAGTTTGAATTTGTCTAGTTTAGCCCCCCGTTAGAAAGAAACCACACAATTAGGTAAGTAATACCATTTAATCACTAATTCTCATTTTAATACTTGTTATCTACAGTCATTACAGATTCCACTGGAGGGATGTTCTGGAGCTTGAGTCCTTCTTCTGATGTCTGTCTTAACTGTTTTCTAATTTCTATCCTAAGCCTAGACATGGTTAGTTTATATACATGTGTCTCAAAGCCATCACTGTCATTTACTTAGATAAGTATTTTTCCTCCTTGGCATCTATCAACAAAGGCAGACATTGTCTTAACTTTTTCTTATACATAAATATTATCTCCTTTTCCTCTAATCATCATGGTTGTCTTTCTCAGGACCTTTTCTAGTTTCAATAAATATTTTTTTTTTTTCAATATGGTTACCAGAACTTTATGCAGTATTTAAAAGGTTGTCTCTCTAAACTCTGGGACATTTACAGTAAAATTTCTCTACTTAAAAATCTCGTTCCTGGTGCATCTTACAGTCACATTGATGACTCACTGCTTCTCTATTTTTTTTAAGTGATAAATTCCCTGTTCATAGCATTAAGTTTTGGTAGTATTTTTAAAATGCATTTCATTGCACTTATTGCTGTTATATGTTATCCCTTTTCTACTATGGATTTTCTGATCCTCTTATACTTTGACAACTCTTAGTTACTATGTTAAAGAAATTACCTACTTTATGCAGTATATTGATGAAAATATGAAATCCAGATAAATTCCAGCACTGATTCCTGAGAAACTTACTAGTATCCCTATAAATTAATACTTCTAATTTCTGCACGAACATGTAATTTCCTGTTTAGTTAGTTATTTTGTTACTCTCCAGTTTTACACTAATCCACTTGCCCATTTTGGCTACTAATTTCTTATATAATGCTTGGATAGGTTAGAGCTACTGTAGTTTCCTTGTGTACAAAGTTGAATTATCATCATCATGGAGGAGATTAGGTACTTGGGGATAATTGTCCATTCATTCAAAATTTGTTCAAAAACATTACCTAGTATTGCTTTCATATAAGATACACGGGTTTTCCATTTTAAATTTCCTATTCCATAGCCCACTCTCATCAATAGAGCTGATATTTCACAAAGACTGTATGTCACCATTCTTATTAAAAAAAAAAAAAGATGCCGTTTTCACTTTATTGTAAAGGAATACTTAGTTTGTGTTCTCAAATTCAGCACACAGTGTACATAGGCCTTCTTTGCTTATTCTCTTTTAATGTGTATGGTTAAATAAGCTTTTTACTAGTTCATTTTAATTTCCTTTGTTATACCTTGCTTTACAGTTCAATTGACTTTGTTAACCTCTTCCCTTAGTTTTGAAAATTTGCTATTTTTAAATCAAAGGCATTCTGGACTAATTTTACTGTGAACTAATATAAATATTGAGGGATTTAAAAAATATTAATCATACAAATATCTTAATAACAGTCAGGACTAACATTTCATCTAAATACAGTATTTTCTGGTTTTTTTTTTTCTTTTTTTCTTTCATCAATATCTCACAATTAAATTTTCAAACAGATGTCATTGCCAGCACATGACAGGTTTATGTACAAACCAGTCATACAGTAGAAAATTTATTTGGTATCTTCACTACCCTTGATCTGAGAAAAATGATCAAACAGATCTTTTCTTGACTTTGCAGTAATTATTCACATATGCATAGAGGTGAAGACTGGAAAGGATCCAAGAGCCTGAAAACAATGTATTGGAGAAGAAGCAATTGCACACAGTGATCTACAGTAATCACTATTATTTCTAATATGATGTATAGAAAGCTGGATGACATGGTTTTACATATCTAAATAACAAATAACATTAATGAGAAGTGACTGATTTCTCAGAAGTGTTGGGCTCCTCAATTTGAGAGCATAGAAGCAATGCTTTAGTAAAATCATTTATTGGTTTTCATTTCTGAAGTGCATAAAGTTCTAAGCATGTCAGAAGAAAGCAAGACCATTTGGTTGTTTAATTTCATAGAATCATAGAATGTTTTAGGTTTGAAGGGACCTTGAAGATCATCTAGTTCCAACCCCCCTGCCATGGGAAGGGACATCTTCTACTAGACCAGGTTGCTCAAAGCCTTGTCCAACCTGCCCTTGAACACTTCCAGGGATGGGACCTCCACAGCTTCCATGGGCAACTTGTTCCAGTGTCTTACCACTCTCAGAGTGAATTTTTTTTTTCCTAATATCTACTCTAAATCTACCCTCTTCCAGTTTGAAGCCATTCCCCCTCCTTCTATCACTACATGCCCTAGTAAAAAGTCCCTCCCCAGCTTTCTGGTAGGCACCCTTCAGATACTGGAAGGCAGCTATAAGGTCTCCCCAGAGCCTTCTCTTCTCCAGGCTGAACAACCCCAACTCTCTCAGCCTCTCCTCATAGGAGAGGTGCTCCGGCCCTCGGATCATATTCATGGCCCTTCTCTGGACTCAGTCCAACAAGTCCATGTCCTTCTTATGTTGAGGACTCCAGAGTTGGACGCAATATTCCAGGTGGGGTCTCATGAAATCCCAAGTCCTTCTCATCAGGGCTGTTCTCAATCCATTCCCCGCCGAGCCTGTGCTTGGGATTGCCCCGACCCACATGCAGGACCTTGCACTTGGCCTTTTTGAACTGCATGAGGTTGGCTTGGGCCCACCTCTCCAGCCTGTCCAGGTCCCTCTGGATGTCATCCCTCCCCTCCAGCGTGTCAACTGCTACACACAGCTTCATGTTGTTGACAAAGTTGCTGAGGGTGCACCCAATCCCAACATCCATGTCGCCAACAAAGACATTAAACAGCACCAGTCCCACTATTAAACTATCACTATTAAGCAAGTTACTTGACTTTCATAGCACTGAGGTTATCAAATATTATTAGTCTAATTACCAGGCTAATCCACTGTAAGAATTAGGGGGACGATTTAATGCTATTTACTTTCCTTAATAAACTAAATTAAGACAAGAGGTTGGGTACACCTACACAGAATGACTTAGACATTGTATACATATGATAGTTTCTCAGTTATAAGTGAGATTAACATGGAGGATCACATGGTCACCTTTCATCAGTCATGGCTCACAGGAATTTGGAGCACACAGCGCTTTGGATAGTGTAAAGAACTACATGTGTAATAGAAACAACATGCTAACTTCGGTTGTGGAAAGGGCAGATTACAACAACTTTTGAAAAGGGTCACACAGAATGTGATTCTGCCAGTTACTTCTCTTCCTCAGGTCTTGCGGTTATTATTTTTTCCCTATTCTTTCAGTATAATGTGTTCAGGCTATGACAATTCTTGTAAAGTTGAAGTTTAAACTGTTGGTAAGACTATCTGTTTGGCAATTTATTATTTACTGATGACAACATAATTATTTAGGAAGCATTGGTACTGTAGCTGCACATTCATAGTAATTTCAGAAAAGTGCTGCTTCAACAGGATCTCCTTAAAATTGAGTAGTGGCGTATACTCCACATTTCTCATGGTAATATGTTTTAGACACCTTCTCTTAAGCAATATAAGTTCTCTCAGATTCTGTCTTTTAAATTTTTCACACTTTCTACTCAGGTCGTGGACCTACAGCATTTTTCAAACAAATAAGTAAATCTCACAACACTACTGTGGAATTTCAAGGTCTTGAGGGTTGTCCTCAAAGATGAACCAAGCATTATGTTAATGTCTCCCTGTCTCTGCCCTCAAAGTATGGCCCCTCAAAGTATGGGAGAGAATATTTGATTCTACAATACTGCATTGCCCAAGAAATGTGTGTTTTACACACAAAGCACAATGGCCACGCAGAAGTAAAGGCCCAATGGTTTTAGCAAAACACAAGCAAGACTGACAGATTCTACCATCAGGTCTCATCAATATGTCAGATTTTATAATGTGGCTTTACTGTGCCTTGTTTTCTGCCTTTTATTAAAAGCAGTATTAATCACTCAAACATAACTGCTAAGTGGTACAGAGGACATATGTTATAACTCATTTATTTCCTAGATAAAAAAATAGAGACATGCACCATGCCTAGGTCAGCCTAGCTGTCAATTTCTTAAATACCTTTTCTTTTTGGATATAGCTAATCATGAGCAAGTAAAAATAATTTTTTTTTCCAGAATGCCACACAAAACTAAATGCAAATTCCTCAAATCTTTGGTTTCACTAGTCCTCAAATAATATTCTGCTGCAGCATAATTCTGTGTATGTATCATAATCAATGTCCATTGACTCCCTTAAGAAAATGCCCATGGCTAGCACTGAAAAGACTGAGTGATGTTTAAAATAAAAGTGGTTTCACTGAACCTCGCAACAGAAACACAGGATAGCTTATTGCCTTGTGTTTAGGACACACAGATCTAATTTATGTAGCTCAAATACTCAATAAATACAAAATTCATCATATCATGACAAGTTCGCTCACTTTACTCATCATCCCTATATTTCTTAGTGTTTTAGCCAGGGCACAGAGGATATCCTCAAAGATACTGTGATGGAGGGAAAAGTCATTAATACAGGTAAAATGCATAGCAGAGACGAGTCATCAGATTATAGGGGGATTCTCTGGTCAGTAAGGTCCTTTATTACTGCTGCTGTAATTTAAAGGAATTTCTCTTTTAGGCAACAGTAATATTAATCAGTGGTGCAAAATGATCTTAGCAAGCTTGGGAGGTGCTTAAATGTATACCATTTGAGATGGGTATCAGCTAATTAGAAACACTGGGAATGAGGATGTTTTCTTAATATTCCTTCCTGTTATCAGCCATCCCTCAGTGATACCACTTCCCTTTGTTTCACACCATTGATACTCAGCATCCACGGAACCAAACCCTAAATCTCTATACTTGGTCTTGATAATTATGAAATTTAACCGTGGAAAGAGTATTGGTATCTCAGGGTATAATGCCAACATCGCAATGCAAGATATATATATCTCTATCTCTCCGCTCTTCAGTGGATTCCAAACAAGCTGTTACATCTGCGTAGCCCGGCACAGCTTTGCAGAGATACAGATCCTTTCTTAAAGGGGTCTTTTTCAGCAGAGCTAATTTGCTTTGAGAGACCCTAATGCTTGAAGCGATGAGTTTGTAATTCCAGAGCTAGCTTGCTGAGAGCCTGCATGGCTGTCATTACGCAGATCTGCATGGGCAGAGCTAGTATAGCCTAAGTAAACAGAAAGCCATATTTTATACAATTTAATACAATATTTCAACACTGTGTTTGAAAAGTGATCTATGTTCATGCAAGCTTGACTTTGTCATATGGCATATGCAGAGTAAAAGATGTGAATGCAACCTGACATTTCTTGATTTTTGTGTGCCCGTCATAGCAAACTCAATATTTGCCTGGTGTAATTTTTTGAAATACGTACTTCTGTATTCATTGACATTATATTATTTAGAATTTTGATTACTGAAATGCATTTTGCTTAAGAATCTTAAGTTTAAGTAATTCAGTGAGTCTTTTTTCTTTTGATAGCTAGGAAATGGAAGGTGTCAGTCCTCACCAGCGATATGCCATCTGCAGGAACAAGCTCAAAGGTTTATATTACATTGTATGGGGATCACGGTAGTTCGGGGCCCATTTTTCTTGATGGAGAGAAGGGAAAATCATTTCAGAGAGGCAATGAAGACATCTTCACAGTAAGTAATATATATTCATTGTATTGCCCTCTTGTATCCTGCCAGATTATATGAGGTTTCAAAATCTATGATGTGATGAAAAGATAGTCATTTTTTTGTATGGTACACATATCTGGAAACAAGAAACAGGACTTAAAAGTAGAACTAAATTTAGCCTCCTTTCCCACTCACCTATCCAAAGCTGATTTGATCTAACATATTTCTTGTCTGTTTAAGAAGAACTACTGGTTAATTTACATGGTGCCCAAGAAAATACCAAGAAATATAGGACAACAGAGATATATATATTTAATTTGAGATGGGGCTACAATATTAAAAGTGAAATTAGGAAGTGAAGAATTAGGGTATGGAGTAAATTTTTAACTTTTTAAAATACCTGCTGCTTTATTTAAGTAATGGCAATTTTCATACCAGTAATAAAGTCCATCTATCTGAAACTGCTTCTGCTCCCAATTACACAAGCAAATTTCTCCCCCATCAGCCTTGTAGCATGGTGATTTAAGTGCGCCAGGACGGGTCCCTTATTAAAAGCTGCATAGCTTGAGTGTGGGTATGGGATTGCCAGCGGGTGTCTCTAGCAGGTGCCAGCTACAGGGCCATATAATAAACAGCTGCTTCCATTGTTAGTATCCAGCATAGCAACTCCCCTTCCGAGAAAAGGTATTTAATGGCAGCATTGATGAAGAGCTCACTTTTTTTCACAATAGTATCTTAGATGCTTAGGATGTAGAAAACGCAGTTCTTAGCCCTCTTTAGCCCGATGGAGTTTCTCAGAAGAATCCAGCGCCTCTGATAGTATGCTATTCTCTGTCTGTGATATCAAAACCCCCAGATATAAGACTGAAAGGAGCAGATAAAATAAGTAACCAGGAGCCTGACTGATACAAATGCCCTCTTCACAAAATATGTTGTTAGCTCTGTTTCCTGCTCCCGTTATTGTCATTAATTTCAGATCCAATGACTTTTAAATACAAAATATGGAGGCAGTCCCTGGTTTGGGACCTAGGATTCCCCTCTTAGATAAGTATCCATAGCACTGAATACAATTGAGGAGTGCGTACTCTGAAATGTATAGAAAGAGAAAAGCCTCTTTGCTTGTGCTGTACGCTAGATCTCCGTCAGCTATGGTCTGTCCTTGCTTCTCTGTCTCTTTATTGCTTATAACACTGAGTTCAGGGAAGTTCATGCTACAGCCAACGCAGTTCACACCCGCCTCTACACTGTAAATGAAAACACAAAAATGAATTCTACAGAAGACAACAGAAGGACAGCAAATTCAGCCTACATAGTAAGAAAAAAAATGATACAGCAAGAAGGGAAGACACTCATGTTGTGTTTCCAGTTCCTTGAAGATAAGCTTTCTATTTCTACACTTAAGTTCATACCTAGTTGTTTGAATAACCTTCACACAAAGTTATTCCTTCAGTGCCCTGTTATCTGTACTGGACGCACTCATCTAGCCTGTCCAAGAGCTAATCTTTCACATATATCTTTTTAAGATGATTTAATTGAAATGATTTGTAAAAAAACCCATCGAAGCTGAACACAATTGTTGCCAAAATTGTAAGGCATACCCTCCTGGAGGGGTAGGGAGAAACTCAGAGGTATGTAGGAGGTGCTTGGGAGACAGAAATAATTTTGTAGCAGGACAGTGGTATAGATGTTAAACTGAGACAGGTTTTACGGTCAAGACACTTTTGCTTTTTAGTCTTACATACAGTCTGTATTCATCTCTCATTGAGGCCACTATTCATTGGGGAACAAACTAGCAACAGCAGCATCCTGAGGCCATTTATGTCGGATTGGCAGGCCAACAGTTTTTTTGAGGGTTGTCCTTCAAGAGAACCAAGCTTCTAATGATTATCCAGAGCAAAATATTTTGGAAACACTTGCTTAAATATCAGAATATTTAATTCCTCTAAACAAAAATGTCACCTGACATTTACTAAATGAATTTCCATTGCACGTCTTTTTCTTTTAATAAATGTTCTGTGTTTCATCAGTTGTATTTCTTTTATAGGTTAATACTGGAAACATAGGACATCTCTACAAAATACGCATAGGACATACGAATGCAGGAAACTCCCCTGCCTGGCACTGTGAAGAGGTAAATGAAGTGAGAAAGAATTTTACCTTTCCAAAAGCAGTCACTATGACAATGGAGTCAAAATATGAGTCACAAAAAATCCCTAGGATAAGTATATTAGCCTCATCAAATGCTTGCAGCTTCATTTAAGAGATTAATTATGAAGGAGTGTTTTTGTGTGGAATTTACGGCAGCTTATGATGGTATGTCTTGGCTATTTGCAGTTTAGTGAGAGCCGTACATTATGTTTCTTTAAAAATATGTGGCTGAGCAGCAAGGAAGACTGCTTAAGTTGGCTGTAGTCTGAGTCTTCTACAAGTAAAGCAAAGATAATAAATCAAAGAGAATAAGCTAGTTCTGTTTCAAGTTTCAGTCATGAAGCATACTATATGGGTTACTGGACTGGGAATGAAAGGATCTGGCTTTTATCCTTAACATTGGTGATGTACTATGTGTGCCAATGACACGCTATGCATGCCTGAAACACTTCCCTCTTTGTGCCAGAGTTTCTTAGCCTTCATTTAAGAGACAGTAGTTTATGAAGGGCTTTAGAAGCTGCTGGTAAACTCATTGTTATAATCATATTTCAGGGTAAATCCAGATCTATCTAATGCAAAGTGTCTAGTGAAGTTAAATATTCACTGGTCAATGTTCAAACTGTGGCTATTCGATGCTTTAACTAGTTGTTTTCATCTGGGACTGAGATTCAGAAAGAAGAGTACGAAAGGTCTGGGCAGTGTTAACTGAAGTTTACATAAGATCCTGTGAGTTCATATCTCTAGCAAATACTGTGTCACTGGTAGTAGCGCTCTGCCTAAGGTTTCATGCTAGAGTTATAGGGATTATATCTCTTTTAACTCAGGTGAGGATTGCCTGAGTGTAAAGCCGTTTTCCAGCGGTGCTGTGCTTTGGGGAATGCTGGAATCAAAACATCATTTAAGATACTTTTTTCTTCTGTTCCTTGTTATTTTTCTTCTCACAAATGTGTGTGTGGGAGCAGTGAAAGGGTGGAAAATACCTCACAGCTTTTTCCTGTGAGGCAGAGGGACAGTTTAACAGCAACTTCTAAAGTGTATCTGCATTGAGAAGCTAGAAGAGAACAGTGGGTTTTCTCTTAGAAAAAAAGGTTCGTTTTTTTATGCTTAATCTTAATATTAGAAGTTTTGGTTACCATAAAATCTGACTCAAACCATGGAACTAGGGTTAGTTGTACGCTGTCCTCTGTGAAAAGAGGCTACTCTGCCTGCTTTGTATAAGACACCCATTTAAATTGAGATGTTGAAGAAGTCTGACAAAAAAAGGAAAGAAAAATATGAGAAATAATCATTCCCCTTCTCACTTCCCAGCTAGGATGTGTTAATTGAAATCAACAGTAAAATTTTAAAAGAAGGATTCAACGCTTCATTGTGTTTCATTGATTATGAATTTTACTTGTCTCCTTACCAAAGGGTTAGGTCATTTCCTCTTTTCAACTCTGAGCAGAAAGTCAAAGAAAAATACCTTCAACCAAACATAGTCTACAAGTAACCTGGCATTTTGTATGGTATAGAACCAAAGGAGTATAGCCATTGATTTCTAGATGTCATAGAAGAGAAACAACATACATGAGGCTTGTCATATGCTTGACATCATTGTTCACTGGGAAACCTACATTTTTCTGGAAGATCGGAAGTTAAAGGAGAGTGCTCTACAATTGCAGAGCTTTTCTGGTAGTTAGGCATGCTAGTCTTCCATCAGTAGCCCATGGTTTCTGTGTCTGTCTCTGTACTGAGATGGTATCAGGCCTGAAAGCATCCACAAAGGTGCTGCTTTGCTAATCCAAACTCCCTTTTCAAGATCCATCAGTAGATGTTGACAGGCTGAGATGTGCCAGGTTTTTTAGACAAGATGAATGTCTTTCTTTGAAGTTTAGTATTCAAGCCATAAAAGAGATAAAAATATTTCCAGTAATTCTGAATTTGTTCAATACTCGAATTAAGATTAGATTCTGCAAAGCACACAGCAGGAGTGAAACTACAAGTAGAAGTATCTTTGCTTCTCTCTGCTGGTCCAAAACCTAGTGTAGCTACAAGTATAAATTAGCATAATCAGGGACTATTCTAATATAGAGCAGCCTCTGAGATGCTTACTAATGAATACTTTGAAGTGCGAAATATGTAGACCTCCTTCCCTTTTTCAGCTGGTGTGCATACGGCCCTTTTGCTGCTATATGCTAGAAGTTGGGCATGCAAGAAAATTATGTGGGACAGACTGGTGTCGGGGCTAGCACTTTCACGGTTTATTTTTGTCACAAGCAGTGTTGAAGAATCAAACCCTGTTCCGTTAATTCCTGTTCTGATAACTGCATCCAGCTCTGGAGTCCCCAATAAAAGAAAGACATGGACCTGCTGGAGCGTATCCAGAGGAGAGCCACGAGGGTGATCTGAGGGCTGGAGCACCTCTCCTATGAGGAGAGGCTGAGAGAGTTGGGGCTGTTCAGCCTGGAGAAGAGAAGGCTCCGGGGAGATCTTATTGCGGCCTTCCAGTACCTAAAGGGGGACTACAGGAGAGCTGGGGAAGGACTTTTTACAAGGGCATGTAGTGATAGGACGAGGGGGAATGGCTTTAAACTGGAAGAGGGCAGGTTTAGATTAAACATTAGGAAGAAATTTTTCACTGTGAGGGTGGTGAGGCACTGGAACAGGTTGCCCAGAGAGGTTGTGGAGGCCCCATCCCTGGAGGTGTTCAAGGCCAGGCTGGATGTGGCCTTGGGCAACATGATCTAGTGGGGGGGGTCCCTGCCCATGTCAGGGGGGTTGGAACTCGATGATCTTCAAGGTCCTTTCCAACCTAAACCATTCTATGATTCTATGATAAGAAAAAAAGTTTAAGGAATAGGATTGCAAGTATTGCCAAGCTTCCGAGTAAGAACTTCCGTGTTTGGTAAGCCATGCCACCTAGTGCCAGCCCATGTAGATAGACCAGCTGGAAGAACATGGCTATATTTTGTGGGGCTGCTCCTGAGCTAATAAACCCTGTTTCTTGGCTGCACTTGCATTACTTCTCTCCCTGGACTTTTGAATCTGACTGAGTGAAAAGTCAGATTAGAGGCAGTTGTATCCGGGGAGCAGTCATGCTCCAAACCCCTGGTGTTGTGATCATGGCACAGAGCTCTACCTGCACAGATTTCAACAGCATCCCACACATTTCATGTTCTGTTCTATCTGGACTGAGATCAGCAACTTAAACTGCAATTCTTGGTGCTGTTTAGGTGCAGTTGCTGAACCTTTTCTCAGGGGAGCAGTTTTATTTCCCTGCACATCGATGGCTGGCCTGGGACCAGGCTGATGGGGAAATATCTATGGAGCTTCCTGTTTTACAGCAGGGTCAGCCTATTCTTCCAGGTAAGCACAATACCACATCAGCTAAGTCAGGCCACAGACTGGTGCCAACAGAGGTGAGTTTATTGTCTTTCATCAGGCCCTCTACTACTTTTTGGCGGCTGCAACACTTTTTCTGTGTTGTTTTTCTGTGGTTAGTGGGCATACTGAGGTAAAAGGTTAAGAATCACTGGATAGGAGATTGGACAGTCTTTAATGCTTTGAATTTCACAGGTCGTTCAAAAAGACCCCTTCTTTGGTAATGTTGTCAGCATTTGTGTTTACTTTAAAAGAGAGGCAATGATAAAGAATACTTTTATTTTCTGTGTGTGGATCAAAACTTTAACAATATTTTGGAAGGCTATGTGTTACTCTCACAGAGACTGCATTGCAATTCTGAAGGTGAATGATGCCAAACAATACAAAAATTATTGTGTGTTGCTGCTGTTATCCTGTTTTAATGTCTTACTCTACCACATCAATCCCTATCATCCATGCTGGATGTTGTTGCTGTATGGTCTCTCTGCTTCAGCAATAGGAAGGGGGTGGAAAATCTGTGCTTGCTCTTCCCTTCTCTCCAAATAGCACTGTTCTTTTCTGGCCTAAGTGCAAGGGCATAGCAAGATCAGTGTATCCTAGGAGAGATGTGGGTGAGGGAGCGAGAATGCTGGGGCAGATTTCCATCCTGTAGGGAGTGATGGTAGAGGGGGAAAAGTCAACACCACCGGTATTCCTTGTGCTAGAGCTTTCACTGGAGTAAAATCTGCCTGGGACAGATTGCATGCCCTCCTCTTTTCCCTTCCCCCCAAAATCGTATCAACTGCAGAGGACAAGATCAACGGCATGAGAGAAAATTCCATTCAAAGTTCTCGAAAAACTATGGAACCCCTTTTTCAGACTGTTTACTACTATAGCAGTGCTTGGTGGTATGTGTTTGTGTTGATCTTGCTGAATTGAAATAGTAACAGGCATTTCAGTGGTAACAACTGTTGTGGGTGCAGGCTAGAGGAAGAGGACATAAATGAAACTGAGGGGCAGAAGTCCAGAAAATGGCCCACAGATGTGGCGAAACATACTATGGGACAGTCAATGTTGTAATAAAGAGCTGGGTGGCCTGGAGCTATTTATTTATTCCTACTATGATGACTGAGCACTGAGATTAAGAACGTGAAAAGAGCAGAAAAACAGGTTTGTGCCTCATTATGTCTTTAAGAGAAAAAGAATAGCAGGAGAGATTTCCTCCAGTGATGTAGTTAGCTGTAAATGGATCGTAAAATGCTGCAGAGAGAGGCTGGCCAGCCCTAACCGTGATGATTTTTGATCTTGAGTGGTTATGATCTTCATACCCTTGAGGGCATGAAAAGCCTCAGAGGCAGTCAGCCTGCTTCCTCATAGGTTTGGTCTCTTTGGTCAGGAGACTTTAATATTATTAGTGTAGGAAGACATACAAGCACACCAGTATAAAACCCAAACACCCCCTGCCCCTTTTAAATAAATGTTAATTAATGATCATTAACATACTATAGTGAATATGCTCAATTCCCCGACATGCAGTGTCTGTTCTTCCCAAAATGTTCTCTTGCTTAATATTCTGGGACACTGACCTTACCCACCTTCTAACTTTCAGGCTCTTCTTTCCGAGTAGGTTGTTTCCTTGTTTCTGAAATAAAGATAAAATAAAAGATTTTTATTATCAAGTAATCTCGGCGCATTGTAAGGCACAAGAGCACACTTAAACCATCCTCTCAATCTGCATTTTGTATTTCTCCCTCACACAAGGGAGAAAGAAAAGAACTTCTGTGCATTTCTGCCAGCCTCAGTATGACAGGGGTCATGCTGAAGGCTTTGGAGAAAGCAGTTTCATCTCTAACTTAGTAATTGAAAGACAGTCTCTGTGTCTTTTTGCCAATATTATATTTCTGCATGAGACAGTGAAAAGAGAACATAGCTTTTAACTTCAGAGAAGATAGTTTGATAACAGAACAGTGAAGAGGTCTGGATTCAATATGAAAGACAGATGATGAGAGGCACTTTAAAACCAATTTCTGAATAAAAAGAGGCTGAAACTTTCTGATTTAACAGCCTTTTTTATTCAAAGGAAAAAAAAGTCTGAATTAAACTGTTAAGAAGTATTACATAGAGGCTTCGTGGCTCTAATTCTGGGGGACTGAGCACCATTCGTTTCACTTTTTATCCTCAACCATCCTACTCTTCTCCTCTGCTCGTGTTTTATGATGCAATCTTTAATTATATGATGATGAACAACTTGCTGGGGATAAATCAGAGTTACAGAGTGTTTGGTGGCCGGTGGACCTTTGCTTTTCTCATTGCAGAAACTGGAAAGTGGATAGTTAATGGGGGAGGGAATTGTAGGTATAGAAAGGATTGCTGTGGTCTTAGACATCCGATTGTTGATCTGGAGAAATAAATTCTCTGCCATGGTCTCTACATAAAATGGGATACCTTTTCAAGTGGGTGCTGTAAAGAAATATTTTGGGAAATAAATAGATCAGATGGTGACATGGTAAGTGATGTGGATAAAATACAGTATTAATTAACAGTTGCTAAACGAAGACTATTTTGAGTATTGAGACAGGTGTACTCTGGGAAAAAATAGGACATGACTATGCCGCTGAAGTCTGTCAAAGGCTTCTATGCCTTAAATGTGTCTGGCTTTTGTCCAAATAATAATAGTTGATCTAAAAAATGGTATGTGTTTTGCCTCCTCGTTCTGTCTCTCATAATTCATAGACATAGGGGAAAGAATAATATTTTGTAAATAATCTTAACCCTTACGCTTTCTACTTTCAGGATGCTGTATTTACAGATATAATGTTCTACACTTAGAGACAAAAATAGATGTAAAGAATACAGTTCCATCTCTTAATCTCTGTTCTGCACAGTCTTCCATGGAATATCTAAAGGAAAGAGAGTTGCTATTTCCTAGGATAAAAGCTGTAAGAATTATAAATACACATAAATACTTATTCTAAAGCTGGCATGATCCCTAGGCTTATGAGAGGTAAAGAGAAGTGTAAAAAATTGTTAAAATTGCTTGAATTTTTAGTTTAGCTATTTTAAGCCTCTATCCTGGATTTATTAATAACCTATGTCTACAGTCCAATACTTCAGTGGAGTTTAGAGGTACCCAGTCATCATCTCAAAATAAATTAGCTCTGATGCTAGAAACAAACTGGCATGATACCGTAGCCTTTGGTGTGGGCACATGAAAATAACCTGTGCAGAGTGCTGATTTCAAATGATGCTGCAGGACAAAGACTTTATACCGTGAATGTAATGTTCAATTCTGTTTGCATTCCTACAGTGACAATCTGGAATAAAAACCATAAATGTAACACCAAAGCAAGTTTGTACATTATTTTACTTAATATTTAAGAGGGTTTTAAGGTTTTATACTCTAACTGTCCTTGACAGTTAAGTATTTGGACTCTACAGGCACGTTCACAGCTAGATGTTATTGTAACTATAATACTGTTTGTGATATGAAAGGTTGTCATCTTTTATTGTCAGTGACTGTCTATGAAGTGCATGTTACAACAGGAGACCTGTGGAATGCTGGAACTGAGGCTGATGTCTATATTTCTGTCTATGGAGAAAGAGGTGATACAGGATCAAGACAGCTGCTCCGGTCACAGAAACCTAAGAAATTTTTAAAAGGACAAGTAAGTGAAAGACAGGGTGTTTTCTCATATGTTTGGCTGCCTTTTCTCCCTTAGGTGGGTGGTTATCCCAGGCAAGGTGCAATTATAAAAGAGATAATTACTGCTTTCCAATGTTTTCCCAAAATTCCATAATTAAGCCAAAAAGACTTTCTAAAGGTATATGAGTGCTTTTGGAAGACAGAATTTTCATTTGTAAAATAGGTAAGCTGTGTACTTTTGGTTTTAATTCTTCTAAAAATTTGATTTAATAAGTGAAGAGAAAATGAAAATTTCCATTTTATGTCTGCATTTCTACTGTTGAAATCTGCTGCAATTTGTAATTATTTAACCAATTAAGCTTCCAGCAGCTTTCTCTTTTCTGACTCTGATCCCATTCATTTGAATGGAACTACTCCCATTAGCAAAGTTACTTCTTTTATTTCAGGAAATCGATCCTTCTTGGATCTTCATGTTTTCACCTTACCATTAGCTGATATTTCTAAGGATGATCTTGACAGAAGAGTTCTATGGGTTTATGGGTCTTTGAGACTCCAAGGCGGAAAAATGCTCTGCCTTTTAGATTTTACTGAAATATTATTGATTGATTACAGACTGACATCTTTGCTGTTGAAGCTGTGCACCTTGGACACTTGTACAAGATTGTTATAGGACACAATGGTCTTGGAACAGGTCAGAAACCTCTCTATATAGTCACTGAATATTGCTTGCAAAGTTATTCACCTTTTCTTTGAAATACAATATGTATTTCTGAAACTAAATATATGAAAACATTTTACAAGCGAAAGACAAAGGCTTCTAAGGAAACTGTTCAAGTGACACAGTTACCTTATTGTATCATCACAAATTTCAACTATTTTGTGTTCACTTTCACTATACTCTCAACCATTATGTTAAGGACACCATCTGCTACTGTTCTGTCGTTTTTGACTAATCCCTACGGAAAAACTGAAGAGGGGGAGTGTCTGCATGATAAGATGTTGAATATGTCTTGTGCAATCTGTGTTATAGATAAAACGAGCTATTATAATTTATTATAATTTTAGGTTGATTAGCATTCTCATTTATACTGTGAAGATGCAGTTGGAGATTTTGGCTACACTATCTTGTCATTAGACACTCAATTAATGGTGAAACTCAAATTGCTTTCAGTCACATGACCTGGTTGTCAAACTCTTCAGCCTAAATATTGAAAACGTAGCCACTAATTTTGAGCCATGATAAGCTACTATTTAGTCTTACTGATATTTTGATTGGCAAAAAAAAAAAAAAAAAGTCTTATACAATGACTATGTTAAACGAGGGGGATGACGTGCAGCACTGAGGGCCAGGACAGCCAGGGAGGACCTGGCAGCTTGCAGGCCCATAAGCAAGTTCTGCAGTACCTAGAGCAGGTACTGTCTTCTCTCCAGCCATCAGGGCAGCCATGAGTATAGTAACCTGCCAGTGGAGCTGCAGATTTTGCAGTTCCAGTAGAAGAGAGAAAACCATGGGAAACCAGACTTCATGCCTCTCATGAGCTAACTTTTTTTTTTTTTTTAAATTTATTCTAAGGAAATGGCTGGTTTCTGGACAAAGTTGTAGTCAAGGATCCTATAACAGATTTGGATTATGCTTTTCTTTGTCACAGGTTAGTGGTGTTTCATTTGAGCTAGATGTTTAATAAATTTGTAATTGCTCATAGTTTTTCTTCTGAAATGGCCTGTCAAGAGAAATACTCGTTTCTTAAAAAGTGAGCTGAAATGGTCTGTTTCTTTTTATAGCTCTTTGAGTTGTACCTGCCCCAAAACCTTGGTGCATTTGAGCTAATGAAAAAGCAGTAAAAAGTTCTGCCTGGGAACTTTCCATTCTTGCACCTCGTGAACTATCCAAGACATGCTTTTCTGACATGTTCCCCATATCCAACACCTTTGATCTGACACCAGCAGGTCCATCCATTCTTCCATTTCATGTAATGCAAGGCTTTTCAGAAGAGTGTGTTGCTGTCTCTCTAGCAGACTGATCCTACTTTACTGAAGTTAGTATGGAGATTAACATGGGGTTCAATGAGCTCAGGATCAGACTTAAAGGTATTGTGAAATGGCCATCACAAATGCAGCTATCCGACCACATCTCTTTTTCTCATTTGCCTTGCAGCCTCTCGCTGAGCTGCAACATAATTTGAAGCAATCCTAACTTCCCTACCTTTTCCCCTGCAGATGCTGCTGCTCTGAATATTCTGTTCTATAGTTCATTTCTAATTTTATCTACGCCTGATTAATTCTCAACACTTTACGGAAAAATTATAATTGATAAATATCAGTGCAAATATTAGGAACGGTAAAGTCCAGTCACGTATGAATGTAGCTGCAGCTTGCCAGTGGCACCTCAATTCTATTTCCTTCTCTCACTTCTCGGAGTGAATAAATAACCGCCTGAGACAGCTCGGAGTGAGCGATGTGCACACTGAAACTGATTTATGTGTGAGTAAGGGCTTTCTGCCTATCAGATACAGCACCTCATCTTTGCCTGACCTAATTTTGATTCTGTATTCTAGATGAGATGAACTGCTATGAAGAGATCTATAATGCTAGCTTCATACATAATTTAGAGAGAGTTCAAATCCATTTCAGGCAGAAAAATACAGGGTATGTGCTAGTTATTGTTAGAGCCTGATGCTGTGCTTGCTGATCTTGCTCTCACAGTGTGTGATTCCCTTTGACTCAAACGGAGTTAGACTTAACTTATGTAAGTAGATGTGAAGAAGGTACAATGGCACTGTACGAGTATAGTTCACACATGGTAAAATTATTGCCTGTTTTGGATTTGCCTCACTGAATAGGGATTTTCAGGGCATGGAACAATTTGCATCCTGCTGTAGCCTTCTTGCAGACAAGAAGAGCAAACATCAAGACTAGTGCACCTTTTGTTATTGATCTGAGATCAATATGAGTTCTCGATTTGTAATAATTGGCTTAGCCCTTGTACGTCAGTCCAGGAAAGCATTTATTTATAAGTTTCATCAAGAACAAACAAACAAAACCATTTTTGCTGAAGTCAATCTCTCTTCACTAAACCTGGATTTTTGTATTGCTGTTTGTCAGCCTTGAGACTTTAATAAATAGAACAGGAAGTATCAGCATGCAAGTGCCATGTATACAGTATTGTGGGAGCTGCCAATTAAAGTTATATTACTGAAATGGGTTCTGGTTTTTAGGTGGCTGGACCAGGGGCAGGATGATGGCAATATTGCTAGAGAACTGACTGTGACAGATGCCAGCACGTTTCCAGGAAGTAAGTGAAAATTGGTGGGGAGGAGAACCCAGCCTCAATGCAACTGTGTCAAACGGAATGAAGATGCTCTGTAAATTAATTACATGGGTTTTGTCTATACAGGACAAGAGCTGGAACTCAAGAGAGAGGAAACTGTAAGAATCTACCTTTATATTTTTATTTAAACCATTCAAATTATGCTTTGAGTGAAATCAGGTCAGTTGTTCTCATGTGTACCAAATTTTTGTGTATCATCTTCTCATAAGTCTTTTCTGCTTGTTTTTGACAATACTAGTGGGCTGCTGAAAAGTGGAAATTTCAGAAAGGCAATACACTTCAGTTTTACAACAGGGTCACCCATGGCTTCATTTGCCTCGGTCCAGATAGCAGAGTTGATGCCCTTGGTGACAAGAAAAACAAATACGGTAAAGTATTTTTCCTGTGGATGTATACATAAAAGATATGAGAAAGGAGGACTTTATAGTTCACTGTGATGTCATATAGTTTCTTGTAATGAATGGGAGTAGATAATTATAACAAACATTTTCCTTACTTAAAATATTTACATGTATTAATGGCTATAAAAACTCAGAAATTATATGCTTGGTTTACATATACAGCACAAAAAAATCTCATATGGTATCTTACCCCTGGCTTTTCCTTACCACATGGAAACTTCTTGTCATCTGCAGTTTAGTGCACCCGTGGAAATGCCATGGCAAGGATAGCTATAGTCTTTTTGTAACTAGATCCATCTAAGGTAACAAGTTCAAATTTCCCGGTATAGTTCATTAATAGGGAGAGAGTGTGTGTGTGTATATGTACATAAAATTAATTTTGTTCCATCCTTGTCATTTATTTTAATGGTACTCTTCCAGTTCCTCCTCTTTATCAGCTTCCATCCTACTGTGTTACTAACACTTTAATACATATCATATTAGGCACACATAGTTTTTTTATCTTTGTATTGATGGAGCTGCTCAGCTTTTCTGACATCTTCCCAGGGACCTTACACACATCTTTTGGAAGTTATAGAACGAAATCTTTCAGGACACACCAGAGAGTGCATGGAGAGCAGTGCAGTCAATACTCCTAAGCATAGCCTATAAAAGCACCTGAGAAAAGCTGCACCAGAAAACTCAAACACATGGTATGGGAGATCAGTAATATTACAAACATTGAAACTGGGTGTTACTCTGTTTTGCCAAAGCTCTTCTTACTAGTCAGCAGTTTTGGTACTTGAGTTCAAAGTATTTGGTGACTCTAACACTGGGTAACTCCAATCTCATGTCTATGGCTTTAGGTCTTAAATGCCTGAAAGCAGGTGCACAACATGGTAGGGTCCTTCCTTCAAGGAGATCCATGTAGGATCAGAAACTGTGAATTACTTGGTGACAGACCAAACTACCTGCTTGTAGGAATTTGGTCTCTAGTCTGCACTGATGCAGTAAGCACATCATTGCTGCTTTTTAATGCTGTGTTATCAATTGGTGGAATGTATCTGATTTGATTTAGACAAATCAGATCATTTAGAAACCACAGAGTTCACAATCTCTAACATGCAGAATTAAAGGTCTCACTGCAGACTCTTTCTTGATTTTCATCTAGATGCATCTTCCTTTCTATAAATGATTGCATTCCTAATGGTATTTTTCAGACATAAACACGTAACATTTTTATTGTATTCTGCATGCTTTTGATACATTTTTACATGTTAGATGTAAAATTCATATTAGTGTTATCACCACAATTTTAAATGAGTAATGTGTATAATTGTGCAAGTACCAAATCTGACACACAACTACTAAATATCGATAGTTAAAGATTATAAATAGAATTAAATTTATTAGAAAGAAAGATCAAAACAAAATTGGTATAAATTGGATGTTAATTAATTTAGATTGGAAGTTAGAAAAATGAGTAGTGTGATCTGTAACCTCCCAAGGTTTTAGTAATACTTAGGAATTAAACTGCTAATCAAAAAGATCTTGATTTTTCTGAACAAGATGATAAAGTTGCCCTGACATCAGAGGAACAGAGATAGTGACACAGGAATAATCATGTATTTTTTTATAGTTCAGAGTACAAAAAAACCACAAGTACCAAACGAATGCAGACTTCTGTCATGCAACTCTTCTGCCTTCAGAACAACAGCTTACACCCTTAACTTCTTTTAGATTTGTTTGTTTTCCTTATAAGCGCAGAAACTTACAAAGTGTATAGAATAGTCATGTACAACAGAAGTCTGCAAGTGCTGACTTGGGAACAGTTGTTTAAATTTTCATTTAGGGGCCCTGCTTCCTTGTGTGTGTTTTGGAATGAAGTCCTCTGACATAAATTGTCTACCTATCTTTCCTAGTAGAAAACTCTGCATTTCAGATGCTGGTAGAACTGTTTATTTGTCTTCAGCAGATCTAAAGAAATCTAAGTCAAAGGTCTTCAAAGTGGTGATGGCAAATTATATCAGATGATGATTTGTTCTAGGGTATTTTAAATCCTCAGGAAGCTTTATCTCTATCTGAAAGCAGTGGCCCACTGTGACAGTTATGTGCCTGCCCTATCTCTGCCCAAGGACTGGAAACTCCATCCGTATTTTATGATTTGTGGCCTCATCCTGATGGGCATAATGATCCTTGGCTGTATAATTCTCATGGTCCCAATGACACCCTGAAGATCTTATCTTATGTACACTACAGGAGTCCCCCAGAGACAGCTGCATCTTACAAATGGGCAACATAAAGTAATGGTAGAACTGTTGTTTAAAAAATCAGCTGATGCTGCTGGGAGAAATAAAAATGGCACTACTTTAGCTTTCTTCAGTATTTTTTAGCTATAACAGGTAATTGTTTGGAAAATTGGTCAGCGTTTAAATTTTAGAAGCTATGAGCTATGCTGCAAGATTTGCTTTACAAATTCTAATGTGGATACAGAGAAAATGAATTCTCCTTTTCTACCTGAGAGCTTTATGTTCCCTACATTTTCTGCTATTTATCATGTAAATTCATTGCTATAGCTCAGTTCATCACGCTGGAGTCCTCAGCTTCTTTTTATGATTTTTTTTTCAACATATGTGCTGATCAAAATATTTTTTTTCCTTATCATTATCTCCCAGGGTTTTTCTCCTCAAGGTAGTGAAGTAGACAGTAGTCTCTCTAGATGCCCTTTCCTGAAGGAATGAGGGGGTTCATTGGTCAGAAGTCAAACTGTTGAATTAAACACTTAGTTCATTTTTTTCCCTTGAAAATGGTAAGTCATTGATTGCAATTAAATGCAAATATAAAACAATATACTTTCATCCTTATAACCGTTTTTCATTTAACTCTTAGGTCTTTTTGATGTAAATGTCAAAAGGAGAAATATATGTATATTCAGCAGTCATCAGATGCCACGTCTTGCTCTTGCTCTTGTCAATGGCCATGTAATTGGAAAGGTAGGAAGTGCTGTTACTGATTTCTGCTTCATAATTACATTTCATTGTCTGATTAAAAATAATGCTGTTTTTAATCTGTTTAATAAATAGTTGTGCTTCCAGTCAGATAAGGACGTAGGAATTGCAGAACTGCACCCAGGAAATTGCCAGTGAATAGGCAAATTTAGGACTTTGTCTGTTTTTTCAGTTTACTTTTTACTCTTTGGTAGGATTTTTTAATGGAATAAAAGATTTGATGCAGGAATACTGGGCTGATAATTTGTATCAGCTTGCCACATTGTGACAAGATACCTGGAGTGCCCTAATATTTCCTCTTTTTGCATTATAAATTTTTGTATTCCTCTTTTTGCAGTATAAATTCTATGCATAGATTTTAAATGCCCATTTTTCCTTTGTATCTTTTTCTAAGTAACATGCCTGCCACAAACCGGATGAAATAGTCCAGATTTGTTTTGATCTGTTTTGATTTGTTTCATCCCATCTTCAAAGTCTTTCTATTGCCTTTCTTTCTCAGCCTTGCAGTATACATGCAGGCAAATGGAGTTGTAGAATTTAGTTCTTTCTGATGAAACTCTTCTACTGATGAGGGAAGAAGCTGTTTCCCTTTCACCTTTTGGAGTTCTTCCCCTTATTTATCCAGTGAAGAATCGCATAGTCAAAGCTGGTCCCATTCCTCGTTTACACGATGTGTGCTGGCATTAGTGGGAATCGAGTACTCTTAGTAGGGTTAGATGTCGCAGCCGGGATAGGGTGACTGTTCAGACCTCCTTGCAGGACTTTCTAGTGTTCATGTTCATGTTCATGAGTGTAATTCTGATACAATGAATGCGTTGCACTCTGTCACAGTATGTCTTAATACAGAGAGGTTATCAACGGGATACTTACATTTGAACTTTCTCTTTTCTGTTTTGCTACTGACATGCTTTATGAGTTTGAGCAACCTATAGAAGAAAATCTGGACCTCAACTTTCTTATTTTTAGTTGTGCAAGAGGTTTCTTTTCCCTGGGAATGTGAAAAATGTAATTTAACACTTTTTGGCGTCCTTGGAATAAAGATAGGTAAATGTAAAAAAAAAAAAAGGCAATATAAAAATTGCTATTGACCTTATGCTACGTAATTATACTTTGAGGACACAGTGGCTCACTTGTTTCACAACCACTTCTAAAATCCATTCCTTTGCTTTTAAAAGTATGTTGAATCTGATAAAGAGGGGTTTTTTGAGTACGAAGCTTTTTCTTCAGAAAGTAGTGCCTTGAAAATTAAAATTTTCCCTAGAAATATTGATTCATTGAAGGTTTGAAAATGCTGCAAAATGTTAGATAACATAAGCCAGAAGTCTTTTAAATTATTGGGCAGATTATTAGCATTTTACATTTATTAAAATCCTAGTTTTATTTAAACATGAGAATGACGATGGAGTTGATAAAATATTTACATATGCATTTTGTATATTGTATCTTTTATACAACGGGATCACCCAGTCCGCAAAGCTGAACAGACAAGCATGGGTAGTGTGTTGCCTTACTCTTTCATGTAAAACTTCTGACTCCTTAAGAGTTTTCCATGAGAACAGTATAAATGAACGAGGAGAAACACTGAGGCAAACGAAGGAGGGCTGGTGGCAGAGAGCTGCTGTAGTTCATTTCCTGTCTACATGAATTTTGCATTCCAACCTTCTTTGCCATGTTTGTAGGCTGGGACTCCAACTCTCTCCCAATGGAGGAACCTAGGTATCGTTCATGTTATCCTCAGATCTGTGTCATCTTAAGACAAACTGTTTCTGTGCTTTGAAATTCCAGAGTCCACAATTTTAGGACTTTGTTATCAGGACTGCAAATCTGAAAAATATAAAGATATTTTCACACTAGACTGGTAATACTGTAGAAACTTGAACAATACAGAAACTATACCGTGATATTCTCTGTCCTGGATTTTGCCATATCTAGTAGTTCATATAATTTATTATTCCTACTTTGACTTTGTTAGAGCAAAGACAAGGCTTGCTGTGAGCTCTGCGTTCACCTTCAACCAAATGGTTGTGCCATTC